CCAGATCTCTTAAAATGAATAGCGAAATGTCCTTATAGATAACTAATCAAGTGGAGAATGGTGTGGGGTTTGATCATGGTTTTGGAAAGGGGTTGTAACTCTAGTTGTTATGTGTTTGGCTGTAAACCCTCGACCAAAAATTAGTAAATTAGAGCAAGAAATGATAAATTTTGATTGGTAAATGATAATTAAAAGGAATATTGTTGTATACGAGGATAAAAACTTTTAGTAATTTAACTTCAATTTTAGATGAAATAAAGTAATTAATTGGTCTGTAAAATATCAATCTAGTAATGAAAATGAATAACATAAAATCCACAATCAGGTAAAATAATTATCTTATGAAGTTTTTTTTTATAAAATGGGGTGAAAATAGTTATATAATAATAATAATAATAATAATAATAATAATAATAAAGCATAATTATAAATAAAATAATGTCTAATTTTACTTGCAAAAAACATTGATCACCAGTATAAACCTTGTGTACAATCGGGTTATTTTTACTGAAAGTGGTGAAAAACTCTAAGAAATTTTTTATGATGGTTATGGATGAGATTCATAAAGGAATTAGTTGAAAAATCATGATGATTTAAGTAAATAAATGGTACGTAAAGTTTGGATTTTTTGCATAAAATTATCTATTGTCTAGTTTTATAATATCAAGCATAACTCTCAATCCAATTGTTGGATCGAGTTGAAAGTTTACGAAGAGTTTCTTGACATTGTTTTATCTTAGATAAAACTTTTAAGTTAATTAGAATTTAAGAAGGCATTTCAAAATTACTAATAGTTGGGTAAATTACAAGAGACAACATTTGAGCCATTAATAAAATCATTTCAGTAATCAAAACATAAAATAAAAATAAAAATAAAAATCTTGCTTTAAAGCTATTGGAAACATGACAATGGTTAGCAAGAGAGAAAGTTTGATGTTATTCATTTTCGTTGGGTAAATTACAAGAGACAACATTTGAGCCATTAATAAAATCATTTCAGTAATCAAAACATAAAATAAAAATAAAAATCTTACTATAAAGCTGTTGGAAACATGATAATGGTTAGCAGGAGATAAAATTTGATGTTATTCAATTTCTTCATTGCACACTTTGAAAAAAAATCATTTATATTTATGGGTTTTAGGTAGATTAAATTGATAAGTCAAGAGAAAAGTGAATCTAAGTTAGTTATGGAGTGAAATTAGTGGAGGGAAAGGAAGAAAAATGAGAGAAAGCACTTGGAAGCTAGGAAAAAAAAGAGGATGGATGAGAATAGTTTGGAAAACCTCTTAAGATTATAGGTGAGTGTTTTTCACCTTGAATTTTTTGTATTGATGAGAAATTTGAAGGGATTGATTAGATGATTAAATGAGTGTTATGAAAGATTATAATTGTTTATAAAATTGTTATTATAATGAATGATTGTGTTTGATTTGTGCTTAATCATGAGAAATATGTTAGTTATGATTAAATTGGTGTAAGAATGAAACGAAAAGGGTTTGTGTAAGATAAATAATTGTATAATGCTTGAATAAACTTGTTGGAATGAATTATGATAGAAACCTGGAAAAAAAAAAACATAAGTGGCAAAGATGATCATGTTTTTGGGCAAGTGAATTAGTGATGAGTTTGAATGAAAATAAAGGAGTTGTTGTGTTCTAATATGTAATAAGGGTTTAAATATTCTAATGATATAAGTTTAGCATGAACTTGGAAAGAGAAGATTTAAAGGAATATATATACCCTTTTGGCCAAAACTTTTAGTAAGAAAAAGAATGGAAATTGTTGATATTATTATGTGGAATTGTTATAAAATTCATGTTAGGATCTTCTAATGTATGAGCAAATGAGATTACATATGCTTAAGATATTTAAGTGTGTTTCTAACGTGTTCGAATGTAAATGTAAAGTCCAAAAATATAAGAAAATACTTAGTTATGAGAATGGAAAATTAAGGTTAAGGGGATGAAGATGTGAAATTGTTTTTCATTATTAATGTGTTGAAAAACCTTAAAATAAATATGTCTAGAATGAAATTATAAAGAAAAATTGAAAGGAAATCCATGAGATTGATATCTTGGTACATCGGCCTAATAGGAATAAATTGGTTTTATATTGTAGTGAATGGTTATTGCCTTTTGATGCATGTTTCAAAACAAAATGTGGAACTTAGATGGATTTACTAAATATTAGAAGAAGAAATGACTTGACAGGAATGATTATTTTATGGACAAAATTACGGCGTTTGTTAGAAGAGAAATGAGTTTGAAATCTATATTGGAATGTTGTGTGATATATATATGATTTAGTGATTGAAGTGGGTTAAGTTTGTACAAATACATAAGAAATGGTTGATAAAATGTCAAACCTGAAATTCATTGCTGAAAATAACCTATTTCTATATTATTCTTTAAATTCATCTTTTTTCTTTCCAAATTATTCTTTAAATTCATCTTTTTTCTTTCAAAAATATAATAAAAACAATAACAATAATAATATTAAGTAGATTGCTATTTTGGCTATAATAACAACAATAACAATAATAATAGTAAGTAGATTGATATTTTGGAAAAAGTAAAAAACATCAAAATGCAATTTGGATAGAATCAAGAGCATAATTGTACCTCATTATACCAAAAACTAAAGAGACA